AACATAAATAATAAAAAGGCTTAGCATATTTGCAACAGCAAAACGTGTCAACTACTTTTCCACCGTTTAAACGTCTTCAGGCAATACAAATGCCTAATTTCTATGATAATAGGAATTCCTTTAAACCATTATCAATAACATTAAACGGGGCTGAAATGACCAAGCTGTCGAGAAAAAAAACCCATAAAAGTTGTTTGCAAAAAATATTCAAGAATTTTATCACACGTGCATCTTCACTTCGTCCAAATGCTTTAAAAGAAAGCTTGCGTTCACAAATAAAACCGTTAATAACTATTTAACGAATTAAATAATTATTATTCTTAAAAAATGATACTGAGGAATTTTACATTGCCTATTTTGAACAGACGTTTTTATCGTATAAACTCCAGCGAAATTCGGTAACAATGTTTTATTTCACTGAACTTGTTAACAATTATCCATAGCATTATAAATAATTAAATAATTAAGAATAAAAATAGGATTTAAATTTATTGATAAATTTCGTCAAATTATTGTTAATATTAGTACATTCGTCATGTTTATAGTATATTTGGGGGACTTTTAACAGTAAACCTAAATTTACAAAAAAAAAGGCTTAGCCTATTTGCAAGGAAACGTGCTCACTTTTTGAACGCTTAAACGTCCCCAGGAAATAGAAATGCATAATTTCTATGATAATTAATAATGATTCCTTTTAAATCATTAATAATCATCAATATCAGAAACGCTATTTGAAAAAATAGTAAAAAAAATTTTGTGACGAGTAGAACCTGCATTTATTTGACATTATAATTTTCCCATGCGCTATTAAAAAAAATGCCTGAATGCTCTATTAACAATCATTTAAACAAAACCATTTATCCCAGTTATTGAATAACAATTATTTTAAAAAAATGATTTTTAAGGAATTTTACTTTACCTACCTTGAACAAACTTTTTTCGTATAAACTCCAGGTCAAATTCAATCCACAACGCTTTAATTCATTAAACTTATTAACAATTATTTATAGAATTGTAAATAATTAAACAATTAAGAACAAAAATAGTAGCTCGAAGGAAACCTTTTCCCGAATGGTCATCAGCTTTCGAGAACCCTGATTCGATTGAAACCGAATTTATGAACACCTGACTTAGGCCAAAACCAACTGAATTACAATTAAAAAAAAAAAAAAATCAATGCCATTAGAGTAGTAAAAAATGAAATATTTAAATTTTATTTTATTTTGATATATTGATACTTTTAATCACATTATTGTTAATATTAGTAAATCCACTGTGTTCATAGCATATTTAGGAGTGGTTTAAACAATAAACATAAAAAATAAAAAGGCTTAGCGTATTTGCAATAAAACGTGCCAACTACTTTTCGGCGTTTAATCGTCTCGAGGCAACACAAATGCATAATTTCTATGATAATCAATAGGGATTCCTTTTAAATCATTAATAGAAATCAATAACGTAAACGTTATTTGAAAAAATAGTCAAAAATTTTGGTCACGCGTAGAACCTGTATTTTTTTACATTACAATTTTCCCGTGCGCTATTAAAAAAATGTCTGAATGCTATTAACAACATTTCAATAAAAACATTTGTTACACTTATTGAATAATAATTAGTTTAAAAAATTTAAGAATTTTACTTTACCTACCTTGAATAAACTTTTTTTCACATAAACTCCAAGTTAGTTCGATCAACAACGCTTTTTTTCAGTAAACGTGTTAACCATTATCTATAAAATTATAAATAATTAAACAATTAAGAACAAAAATAGTAGCTCGAAGTACCGAATGGTCATCAACTTTCGAGAAACCTGATTCGATTGAAACCGAATTTATGAACACGTGATTTGGGCCAAAACCGACTGAATTACAATTTTCAAAAAAAAAGTCAATGCCATTAGAGTAGTAGAAAACTGAAATATTAAAATTTCATTTTATTTTGATATATTGATACTTGTAATCAAATTATTATTAATATTTATTAATTATTAATATTACATGATTATAGCATACATGGAGGTATATTTAAACCGATATAATAAAAAGGCTTAGCGGATTTGCAAAAAAAAACTTGCCCACTTTTTGATCGCTTAAACGTCTTCAGGCAATAGAAACTCAAAATTTCTATGATAATCAATAAGGATTCCTTTTAAATCATCATTAATCATCATCAATGATTTAAAAGTTATGTAAAAAATATTCAGGAATTTTTGTCCCATGTGGGTAGGGAGACTACCTACTTGTATAATACCATGTCCCCAAGCGATACAAAGCAGTGATAATTAATAGAATTTTCATTTAAATCATTTTTTATTATCAATAACATATTTTTTTGAACAGAGAAAATATTCAAGGATTTTTACAGGATTTAAACCCTCTTCTTTTTTACATTATAACACTTCTATATTCTACAAAACAACTTCAAAGCACAATTAACGAATATTCTTACAAAATTGTTAATAACATTTGTCGAATTGACACGATTAGAAACAAAACCGCGAGGATAGCCTGACCAGCATGACCGGCTCATCAAAATACGGTTTCCTTACCCTGCTACTCAATGCTAAACAACTTCGGACCTCTGAAAAAAAAAAAATTTGTGCAGACAATTAAGAACAATTTCTAAGCCAATGCTAATCCTTACAATTAGAATACCATTTAAAGAAAATTAAATAATTTTGGAGGATTTTCATCTTACATGCCTTGAACCAATTATTTCGCGTCTACAATTCCATAAATTCGATAAACAAACCCCTTTTATTATTTATCTAATAAAACATTATAATTATTTTAAAATAAAAGCAGAAATAATAGATCCCAACAAGGGTTTGTCGGATTTTTTTACCGAATGTTAATGACACTCGAAACCTGTAGAGATTGAAGCTAAATTTACGAACAAGTGATTTCGTCCTAAACCGACTTATTGACAATTTAATAAAAAGATCAATGCCATTTGAGTCGGGCAAAATATGAAATATTTGAATTTGATTTTATTTAAACGTATTGATAATTGTGATCCAATCGTTTTTGACATTCGATCAATCGAATTATCTTTATTCAGGGACAATCTATATATATTTTAAACAATGGACATGTTTAAAACAGTATTTAGAATATATAAAATATAATCGACCGCATCTCACGATATCTGAATAGCTATCGATTAACGGTCAATAATCTCTACACATAAAATATAATAATAATGAATAATAATATATGCATATATACATTTAGAACAATAACCATAAATAACCGTACCAAAATAATAAATCAAAGTCTACATTGAAGTAAAACTCAGAAAAGTTGGTCATAATAAAAAATTCATTTTCTGGTATGTATTTCTCTTAAAATCCTTCACATTTTAGTCTTGGCGTAGAAGTCAGTACGGATTTGTGTTTGCTTATTTGTATATGCTCTTTATATGCTAATCCGCAGATGTGTGTACATTTGTACACATGTACAGAATTGAGCCTATCGCTTCTCCTATTCCTTGGCATTCTGGGGTCACAACCTCGATTATTCATCCGTCCAGCCACCGAAGCTAGGTCAATTTAGCACCATATTTTGCAGTTTCATTTTGTATTCTAAATTGCTAGTCCAATTATCCTGATTGGGCCCATGTTCATGTAGTAAGCGCAACATAATCATATTTTTTTTTTAGAATAGAATAGAATAAATTTTTATTTGTACACGTGGACAATAATATATACATTAATTTTAGAATGTAGGGAAAGTGACATTTCACTATGACTTCCTACTATTTACACTTTTTTTTAAATATTTTTTTTTAAATACAAATCGGTACGAGTAATTCCATATCAGTTTGTGGGAAAAAAAATTTATGTTAACAAAAAATCACAAGACATTTTTTTTAAATATCATTCATTTTCTTATATTAAGGTGGTTTCTAGATAGCCTCGAGTACCCCAGAGATCCTTAGGTCTACATATCCTGCTTTCTTGGTTCAACTGAATGCAAATTGTACTTTTGAGAAACGATCTTTTCATCGGTAGGTCCATTTTTTAATTTTTTTTTTTTTTTTTTTTGTTAATTCTAAATCTCTCCCTTCTAAAGGCGGAATACGAGAAGAGAAACCCATCAAATGGACAGCCTGACTCTCCCTGTAACAGAGCCAAGTTACGACACTGCTTAGTTCGTAAGCACCAAAATTAGATGCCCTGTTCTTTCTATTACGAACTTTTCTGTCTGTTCTTGTTTCCAGCGTACCACATATCTTTCTAGGCCTTCTGGCAGTCGTCGTACCTCACAAGTTCAACGAATTAAGGTATCCTAAGTAAAGTTTATTCAATTTATTTGATTTTTTTTTTAAATATATTAATTTAATTTTGTACACTTCACAGTTGCTAAATATTTTTTATATATGGTTCCAGAATGATCTGATTATAATATAATTAGTGTATTATTGGCGTTTCCGTCTTTAGTTGTCACCACAAACCGATCGATCCTGCAAAAGTGCGCCTGGACAAATTTTCTACAAAATCAGAAAAAAAATCAAGAATCTTTTCGATTTGTTGACAATATTAAAAAGGACCTTTATTAACCTTAAAAAAACATCTGAAAACTAGTAGAATATGCAGGTTTTCGTCTCAAAACTGTCTGTTGAATTACATTAAAAATATCAAGGATTACAAAATTATTGATAGTTTCATCAGCAGCACAGAGAAACTGTATCTCTGATAAGGTCTGTCTTTTTTTTTAATTTTATCAACTCATTTTTATTTAATCTGTATCTTTTGATCGGTTATTTCTGCATTCTAAAAATAAACGGTCAAATCGCAGTTATTCAATATCCTTCTCACGGCAACGTAGAAAAACTGTAAACAAGGTAAAAGCTATCGATCTTGAGCTGATCGACAACTTTTTGTTTCGAGGTTTCGCAACAGCATATAAACCCTCAGGATGCCGATGTTTTTGAAAAAAAAAAAGCCCATTTGTAAGTATGTCGGGTTCGAATCCAGCGGCCCTGCATTCGAACCCGGGACCTTTACCTTACAGCGATGAGCGCCGTGTCAACGTCGTTGCGGCCACCGATGCCCCTCAATCGACAACTTTACTTAACATGTTTGTTCCTGTAAATAATCAATTTATCTGCAATGAAGCTGACGAACAAAAAGAAAGAAAATGGACAGAAAATAAATAAGAAAAGTAAAGCCAAATTGAACAGAAACTAAGAGCACTGGCAATTCTATCAACTATTCCATATAATGGGTGTGTTTATGGAAAGACTTCTAATTTTTTTTTAAATCTTCATGCAGGAAACATTTATGGACAAATTCGCCCAGATTCAAAAGAAAATGTATAAATTTGTTCTGAAATTTTCTTGGCAAAACTAATTAACGAATCGATACATGTTTTGACATTTCAAGAAATTTAATTGGGCAATGTGTATTCAAAGCAGAAATGGTAATACAAAGAAATTCCGACAAATAATACAGTGGAAACACGCAAAACGTTTAAGCCTATGTATTTAGTTACGTAATACTAGATCAATTAAATTATGACCTCGAACTAACAACAAAAGAAACTCTACATTACAGACTGCTGGTTAAGCGAAAGGTGTTCTCAGTCTCAGTTGCTTCCCAGTGAAAGCGAGGATTGTGGAAGGGATGGGTTTGGATTTTTTCTAGAAAGCTTTCGTCTGGAACTGGAACCAGTCAAGCAAAGGAACTAGACAAGAACAGGAGCATTCGACCCAATGACGTTCACTACTGCACAAAACGACAGGAAGGATCATATGCAGTGATTTCTTTTTGCCTTTTAATTTTTTTTACCACAAGAAAGATGAAAGAAATTTCTCCGACGCAGGATCGTCAAAATGGAGCCGAAGTCCAAAAGACCTGTTGTAGCACCGAAAGCGATGCTGCAGCAAAAGGAGCTGCTCTGGTGGAAGACATCCTGGAAAACGGTTCGCACAAACCACTCGACACCTCACCAGCACTTTTACCGCCCTGGTACGACCACGAATTGGTACTGAGGTAAAGTTTTATATATTATTTTGTATCGTTTAACAATTCGTTCAATCGAGATACACACAATGTGTTTAAAATAAAAAAATGAAACAATAAATTTAAAAAAATAAATTAAACAATTCTGTGACAATATACAATACAAAATTGCACCATTGATGAAGAAAATCAAGCTTGACAGACCACAAATCGGATCAAAATAAAATAAAACAGTTCAACAACAAAAGTATGATCCAAGCACATGACAATTAAATACGTCAGCTAAAATTTGGCTACCTACAATTCACGACCAATGTTTTAATAAAAATAGCCATCTGCTAACTCTGGAACAATAAATAATGCCGAAAATTCTAAATATGTTCATAAATAAATAGAAACGTGTCAATTATTTGTAATTTATATGAATAGTTAACTAACTAAGAAGTAAACTTAATTTAAAAAACGTCAAAACCAATTGGAACAAATGCCGGCCATAATAATAAAGTGATGAAGAGTAATAATTAAAGTATGTAAAGTTCAAAAGAAGTCAAAAAGAAAACAGGAGAAACTTTGGACGGCTCGCCAAGCTAGAAATATTTCTCAATTTTACTTTATTCTAAACCAATTATATTTAGCGGTCTATTGACCAAATTACTAATTTCAATTAATTAATCTTTTCATTTCAACCAAAACCTTACATAAAAAGATATATTCACCCGACTGAGGATTGGCCATACGCGGTCCTTTTGGTCCAAAGCCCGCGCAGGTGCCCCTTATGCAGAGAAAGGTTGTTCGATGTGTCCCACATAATAGAGGCATGTCATGCCTTGGCTCCATACAGAGAGCGTGTAGGCATGCCTTGAACACGGTAGCGAGTTTTAGAGTCCCCTGTTCCGCTCTTTAGGGGAAATTTGGGTTTTTTTTATTGTATATAATATGTCTTATATGTTGTGTGTCTATATGTTTTGTCTATTTATTAGCGTGAATGGCGAGGGGTGAGGGTGAAATATAACGACATCATCGCCCCTCGAACGTTGAGAGCGTAAGAGTGTGTGTTCGGGGTCGATGGTGGAATATTTGTAAAAGTACTCCATCATTCCCCAATCTAGATTAGTTTGAGTATAGGGTCGGTGGAGGAATATCAAGTACTCCGACCAAACGGAATGAGTGTACTGTATGGATGTATTTATGTGTATGAATGTATAAAAAAAAAAACACTTTAAGTTTATTTTATAAGACAAAATTTCGTTCTCGAGAGAAAGCTATCGTGATTTTCAAATTTAATATTCGAAAGAATTTTATCAAATGCTGAGACGGTCTTAGAATTGTTTTCCCGCGAAGTTGACTTTCTTCCATTCAACTCTTAAGCCACGATGGCACGCAATAAAAAATTCCTTGCGTCCTTTTAAGAATAAAAGGCGTGGTTACAGTTTTTGAAAATTTACGTACTTTTTTATTCGCTGTGAATTGTAGTGTTTCCTTTGCTGATGCTACCCTTAAAAAGCACCTGTGGCAACAGTTATATGCTGTCAATAGAAATACTTGTTCTTACATTACCAACAGCAAGTTATTATCCTAGCTATTTTGGTGAAATATTCATTAGTGTCATTCAATTAATTAAGGTTTTTAGTTGAGATAAAAAAAGCCAGTGTCACGAGCGGGATTCGGAGGGAAGTATAAGAAAGAATAAGAAAAAGGAGGGAAAATTCAAAAGGTGGGGTTGAGATGGGAGTTCTAGTCCGAGCTGATCGAAGTCACGATAGCTCAGGTGGTAAGAGTAGCGGCGTATCAAGCCGAAGGTCGTGGGTTCGAATCCCACTCGTGACACTGGCTTTTTTATCTCAACTAAAAACCTTAATTAATTGAATGATATTAATTGGTCAAGCGGACCACGAACACTAGTAAATTCATTAGTGGGTTTGTTTCAAGAAACCAGAGGGCATAAAGAACAGTGACTAATCTAACAAATGGAAAAAAAAAACAAATGTTTAGTTAATTTTAAAAGTATTTCAAGCGGAAATTGTGGCTGTTGAACACTGTGCCGAGTAAAGTAAAATACTAAGTTTCATTAACAGAAGTATAGCCATCTACTTGGACAGCACAGACACTAGGGGCAATTACTGCATCAGTGGTAAAATCCAGAATTGTTTGGGATTGCATTAAGACCCTGTTAGATATTGAGGAAAACAACAACCCTTTCTGGGCAATGGAGCGGTAGATAAATTGGCCAAAGATAGTTCGATGAGGACACTCTTTTGTGGCATACCAAACTGCCAAAAAACATGGATACATTAGACAATGGAGTAAAAATAAGTGCTCCGTTCAAGTAGTTCATCAAAGGACCATCGCAGAACTACTACTTTCTAGAATAATAGTTCAACTGCTAACTGGACGCTGCAAACTCTGGAGTCATAGAACCTCGCAGTGGCTTGTTTTCACCAAGCCTGTACAGATATTGCAAGGAAGAAGAAGCGACAACAGAGCATGTCCTCCGTTGGTGCGAAGGCTTAAGTAGGATTAAGATTCCTACTTCTGGGAAAGGGAAAGGAAAAGCCCAAGCCTGAAGAATACACATGGCAGTCCTTGCAAAAGATCTGGCAAAAGTTTTAAGCTTAACAAGGGGCTCTAGGCAACAATGGAGATGCACTACAGACCAATATTGGTCTCTATCTAATCTAAGTGTTTTTGTTTTTTTGTATATTCTGGCATATTGTATTCCAGATTTTCTACTACTAATAAAATAAACTAACCGCTCAACATAAAAAAATTGTTTAAGTTGTATGAAGCGTACTGTTCAAACAGCAAATGTATGGCAGAATAAAATAAAACCATAGAAATAAATAGTCGTACATTACTAAAACAATTAAACCAAAATAGAATGTTCATTCAAAAAAATTAAAATTTAAAACAAATGGAGTAAGTATTATCAGTAAAAATGGTAATACACAAACAACAAATTGTGGGGAAAAAAGATGCCAGATACGGTTATGTTACAGATTGTTACCTCATCACTCATGACCTCACATATTTCATAAAAATATCTTTACAAATATTGTTTACTTGCCAACAACAATGAAAAATAAACTTGAATTTCATGGTTTTTACTATAAGTCTCATGGCAAACTTGTTTTCACACAATTTTTTTTATTTCGACCTTAGATATTCATTTTCAAAGTTTGAAATCCCTAATAAACAGTAGTGCCAAATTCTAATTATATCAAAATAAGCTGTTGTATAAAAAGGAAAACATACATAAAGGAAGACATTACAACCTGCTTTCTCATACTACAATGTCAAAGAAAGAAAAAAACAGAGATTAACAGTTTAAGTCATGGCATACCAATAAAGTCTATAGTAGAAAATCTAAATAGTATAAAATGTGGACAACTTTTTAAATCCATGAAATGGTTTTATGTGTATATAAAGTAGTTCATGTAATTAATAATCAAACTATAAAAAATGTGGCCAATATTGAAATAGTAAGGCAAAAAAAATACAATTAAACTGCACAAAGATAAAGAATTGTTGGTAAAAAATTAATCTAATAGATGTATTGAGCAGGTGAAGTACAGCGTCAGTAGAAATTAAAGATGCTTTAAACAGCAAAGACATAATTACTTTTAAAACATAAAAGTTTTTTCAAAAAACTTGGATTTCAAGAAAATATATAAATAAATATACATTTCTCTAATTTCAGAGGGCAGGACTATTTTAGTTGCAACTTGTTCAATATGTTTGTGGTCAAACTTAGCGGTCTCTTGTCTTTATTGTCAATTCCTTCAATTTTGGAAGTATTGAGATTGACAAATAAATCTTATACACCTTTATTGGCCTACAAAAGGTACTTTATTTATCAATTTTAGATGTTACTTTAAATGAATTATATTCTGGAAAAAATTTATTTGATGCAAATGAGTAATTATCGTGTTTCCCTAGGTATTTACAGACAATAAATCAGATGTTAACCTGGTACCAGTCAGATTTAAGGAATCCAAACTCACAGTAATTATCATAGTACTAATAAAATAGATAAAGTTTTATATTTCAATAAGTATCAGTGGTTTATTAGAGGGCGGCATTCAATGGAAGTTGTAAGAAAACATCATGCCTTTGCATCTAAATCTTACGGCCCAATCACACAAAAAGACATGGCGGTAACTCAATTTGGTTTTGTCGGTTTTGCAATAACTTCGTATGATCAACTTGGACTTCCTAAAGAACAAACTGGTCTTATCCACTTATGGCGAGTTATTGGACACATGCTAGGAATACAGGACAGGTTTGTATTTTTTTTTTTTTTTTAATATACTGTTTTTTTATAATGTTTATGTTAAAGATTAATGGCTGCTATATAACCTCTGTTTAAATATGCAGTAGTAAATATTTACCAAATTAAAAACCAATATAATAATATCTGGTCTGATTTATTTTGCCTGTCAGGCACATTCAGCATTTTGCTATCTTTAGTCCTGTTTTATAAGTCCGTGCACTAACCAATTGCCCCACTGAGGCAGGTAGGTGAGGGATTATTGCTAGTTGAAAAATATAGAAAACAACCATCTTTAATCTTGAAATCTTTTCAAGGAGGCAAAATATCTATCAAAAACATTGATTAATATAATATGAATTTTTGTGTTGTAGATTTAACCTTTTTAGAGGCTGTGATTTATGTACCAGATCAGCCTGCCTTGAAATGAGGAAAAGAATTTTTGGACCATATGTCAACGACCCACCTAAACATTATCACACCATGTCGAAAGCATTGTTGGATGGGATGTGGCCACTTGTCCCGCTAATGAACCAGGCTGCTTTTGTCGAACATACAAGGAGGCTCTGCGGGCTGCCTTCTAAGGAATTGACATTATTGCCATTTGTGTTTCTATATTGGCAAATAATTATACATAGATTGTCTCAAATAAAAGTAGTTGCATTTGTGATGTTACCAATATTAAATTTTCAAATTTGGCTGACATTGTTTATTCAAAAGACAGTGCCGATTCTAGCTTTCATTGCATTTGGTAAACAATAATTTCAACTGAGAAATTAAGGTGATAAATATGTACACTAGTAAATGTTTTTTGTTCCACTTGTAAATAACAAATGCTCACTACAGGGAAAAAACAAATCTACATTCTATTGTATGTTGTCATTTGAAATATAACAATATATTTTTGTAGTATTCGTTATTTTTCTTAACTTCACTGCATACATTACACTGTACTTTTTGCAAATTCTGCAAAAAGTTTATGACTTCCAACCAATAAATTACCACAACATTAGTAACAAGGACATTGGAGCGTTATTGAGACTGCTAATTTTTTACTTATATCACTTTTATAACTTAATTTGTGTCACTTACATAATTGTTGCACTGAACAATTAGAATGAGGATATCTAAATATTTAAGCAACACATTTCATGTCTTCTTTGGACGCTCGGAATTCCCTGCAAAGGAAAGCTTAAGAAATGTATGTAAAATGATTATTTGGAGATCGTGAGATGCAGTCTGGTGTGAGGTTTAGAAAAACATTTTCTTTATCATGCCAACGTTTAACTCTTCTATTGAGATCATCTTCAGGGCCTGAGATTTATAAACATAATTAAATTAAATTATACAAATTTGTGTAGGATGTGAAAAAATGAATTTATATAATGGTAAAATTTTAGACTCAATCAAAGTATTTGTACTCACTCAAAGTGCTTGTTTTCTGTGTATGTATGTAAAATGATGAAGCAAGAGGGTAGTAGCTGCCACGGGGAAGAAAGCTCCAAGTAGAACCCTCTGGGAAGATTTGCAAACGGTGGGTACAACCAAAAGGGTATTCGCTGGTCAGTCAGTAATGGAATGGAGTAGAGTTGACATACAAAATATTTATGTAAAAAATTATTATTTAACTTAAGTCATTAACAAAAAATTAATCTATGTAGAATGGTGTTCTTCAAAGCACTGGGGACAGTTCAAGTTTTCTGTCACCAGTGCTATAACATAGGTAGAAGCATTTTCTAACTTTCTTACCTGTCCATCAGCTCTTTTGTTGCAATTTACAAAAAGGATTTGTCCTTTTTGTCTCCCAGATATTTTAATAGGAAAATGGCCAACAAGAGGATGAAAAACTATTCGACAAAAAGGTTAGGATAATCACAGTCACCAGGAACCTCAGGAATACGGTGGACTCTACCATGTTGGAGGTTGTTTAACTTATTCTAGTCCAATTGGGCATAACTATTGAACAAGTAGAAGCTAGTCATGAGTAATGACTAGAAGGGGTGAAAGGCCAACTTTTTGTACCATTTTTATCTTCTTCTTCATTTCACAGCACTTCCTTGTAAGACTCAATTTTCAAAAATTAGCAACAACTAAGTTTTAAGAAAATTAAAACCCCTGAAAAAATATTTTTACTTTTACCATTTTTTCTTGTTTTACAACCTAATTTATTTAAAAATTAAATTAATTACAAATTAAATGAAGATAACACCAAATTGTTGAACCTTTTCCTCAACAAAAACCTGAAAATCACAAAATATTTCAGCATTTAAAGTCTATCCGTCAATCATGGAATCACATTTAATGTAAAAATAATCAAATCTTACCTTTAAAAAGTAATTAAGTTGGGGGAAAAAATGGAGCTGTACTGGAATGGCGCAATCATTTGATGCTGTTTTCATTCTAAATCTAAAAACTACTTCAAAGTAGGGATCCATACAATAAAAGCCAATAGAAAATGGTGCGTCCGAAAAATGCCTGGGTCTCAAATGATGTAATAAAGTAGTATTTATAACAAGAAAGTAAACATACAAGAAATAATGTATGGGTACAAGTTCACAGACTAACAATTTTTAAAGTAAATAAAAAAATATTTCAGTTAAATATGTTTTTTAATGTAAAACTCTCTGCTTTATTATCTCTACTTACAATCTAAGTATGTAATTTGGTATAAAAAGTAAACAAGAATGTAACAAAGTAATTTTTGTATTATTTTTTACATTGATGACATATTTTTAATGTTAATGAACAAAAAATATAATTTTTGAATAATACTTTTAAACAGAAACAATTCTTTTAAAAATTATTTTTGAAACATACCCACGTGTCAAATTTAAACATAAATTGACTATTTTTTATGAGATGACCTAAACTTTTTGTGATATCTCATTTTCATAGCATAAATTCTACTTTTAGGTGCAAGACGCACTGAGGGAAAGGTTTGTTTTTTCTTTGATAAGTTATTCTTTATCTTTGCTTTTATAATTTTTTTAATTTGGTTCCGTTTGTTCTTGAATTGTTCATTGTGAATCGTGACTACATTGTTGAAGAACTCAACTCCTTCTGAAAAAACAACAAAAGAAATCATTACCAAATGTTGTTGAGCTATGATCCATCAAAAACCAAACACAACCTTATAGATGTTTAACCAATTTTATATTAAATATTTACCTTTTAGTCTTGAATCATCAGGGTACGAGAAAAATAGATTATTTTCCCACCAAGATTTTGAGGTACTATTGCTTGGTTTAGATGTTTCTTTTTCATGGAAATCCTGAATAGGCTGATGATAATCCATATGTTTGTCATATAAGTCAAAATGTTTATGTTTGTCAACATTGTAGAAGAGATTCTCTTTGGCCTCTTTCTGTTTGCGTTCTGGAATATTTGCTTTTCCAGCAAGACAATAAATAATCAGCCATACAATGGTTTTATAACTACCGCGTACATATTTTGTTTTAAAAAACAATTTTTTTTAATAAAGTAAATTCATTATTTTATTTTTCATTTTATAAGATATAAGCATAAAAATTATTTAACACAAAGATAAAACAATGTTAATTTGGAATTTCGTTATACGATTCCAGTTTATTTATTTATTTATTTTTTTTTTTTTAATACATATTAGACCATTTGGTTTCCTGTTTTGTTAAATTTAAATTTTATGCTATTATACTTTATAATTATGCTTCACAAAGGTGTTATAGATAAAAAATAGATAATATTGTTCCATATATGTTTAGTAGTCATAACTGACCATATTAAGTATTTTAATTAATTATACTTTTTAACTAGGTCTTGGTTGAGATGAAAAATTTAAAAAGTTAGTGTCAAGAGCACGATTCGAATACAGAGTACCCCACAGACCCACAAAATTAGGTTAGTTTTATAGGGTGTTTAAAGTAAAAAGGGGAGGCACTGGGTAGGATAGGATAGGATAATATCAAATAACACAGCAACTACCCAAATTTTATCTGTACATATTTTAATCTTGTATTGTATATGTATGTGTGGGTGAGACTATGGTGGAATATTCAGTATTGGAATATTCATAGACCCAGCAGCCTAGGTTAGTTTTATATATATATAATTATAATAATAATTTATATAATTATATATAAAAATATAATATAAATTGTTATTATTGGGGTAATAACAAAACCTGAAACATCTTCCGGAATTTACAACAGTTGTTTTAAAAAGAAGAGGAGTGGTCATAAAACAAAATTTTCCGAGGCCAAAAGGCATTGTCTATGCGTTCCGTTCGATCAGGACAGGTTGAAAATGCTGTCCAAATTCAGCGTAGGCCGCGTGATAATGATAATATGGATGTCAGTGCTAAAACAAAAGGAGATGTTTGCTGAGGCCGGATTAAGGCGACAGGAAGTGAAGAAACCATTGCTGACAAAAGAGTGGCTTGCTGATTATGGTTTTAATGTCATGGAATGGCCCCCACTGTCACCTAACCTTAATCCAATTGAGCACTTGTGGGGAAAACTAAAAAATCTTTAGCCGATGCTGCAGGAGACGCTTCAAACTTCGATCAACTTTGGGAAAAAAACACAAGTTGAATGGGACCTAATTGATCTAGAACAGTACAAAAATCTCGTGAGAAGTATGCCCAGAAGGACTGATGCAGTCAAAGCCAAAGGAGGACATACAAAATATTTAAGGACTTTCTATAACACAATCATATTATCGTTCGCCCATGGTAATTTCTTTTCTATTATTCTAATAATCATGATAAAGGAACAATTTAATTTTTTGGGTGTTTTTTGTGTTAACGTAAATAAAATTATTAAAAAAACTACGTTTATTTGATGTCCTACAATTGTTTTGTAAAGTAAATAATGATGTAACCCAATTTGCATTCAGCTGTGAACGAATCTGTGAGTCACTGTATATATATGCTTAGTGATTTTGGGTGAGAAAACCCCGGTGTAAAAGCCAAATTTTTATTTATACATATAGTATTCTAATTGGTGCGAATGATGGTGGGTCCTCAGCAGAATATCCAGTACTCTGAGACTCACAAAACTTAGGTTAGACAACAATATAGTATGTACATGCATATGTACATGAGCTACACTTTTCGTCATGTGAAGAAGGGCCAATTAAGATATAAACGTGAAACAGCAAACAAATATCCCAAAATATTAGGTATTGTAACAATATACAAAGTTCTACGAATTCTGATAATATATGCCTTTTTTTCTTTTCACGCTTTCTTTTCTCTGTTGTAGTCTTTTTTTATCACACTAGGCCAGTTGATCCAAAGGATCTTTAATGCGTTGCCGATTAACAAGGGGTACTACAGTAGAGTCCCTAAGTTCCAACAAAAATAAAAAATCATTTCAATTTCCTACCGGAGAGCCAAACTTTCTCAATTAAAAAAATACAAAATAAAAATTAAAAAAAAATAATAAAGAAAGTAAGTAAGGTGCCGTCAACAGTCATAGCAGCTAGGCCAGGAAAAACATACCGGTTATCATGGAGTCAGTATAACAATATCAATTTAAATAGGTATTTAAATGGTCTTTGAATTCAATTGATTTTAGTTCTTTCTTGTAATAAACTGGTTTTGTTGAAGTTTTGTTTTGACGTTTTAAGTCTAGCTAAATAAATCCAGTAGCTTTATAGATCTATGGGATCATCACATCAGTCAACTGATGTTGTCGGTTTTCTGTATATGTCTATTTCAATTTGATGATCTATTATTTTGTGAGTAGAACCATTTTTTTCTATCCCGTCTTAATTTGTCAAGATGCTGACAGATAGATTGGAGGAGAATGTCTCTGACAGAAAGACGTGTATGATCCCAAGGGTCAATACAGAAAATTATAAATTTACAATTATAACTTTTATACTGCTCAGAAATAAGACGAGCACTCAAACATAAAATAAATTGTATATTGATTTTAACAACAGCTATTTTCCTGCTAGGATATCCTCTGTTGAATGTTTTGTAACATAATAAAACAATTAATTGATGTTATTGAGTTACCTTTTTGTGTTTGTCCGAACAGGTTCAACAAGCTGAAGTCTGAATCGTTTGTTAACTTATCTTTCAGTGATTTGTCAAAGAAGTACAATTTTTCATCTGATTTGACTTTGCTTTTGTCAATTTTTGAATCATTTTCATTTCCCTTTTGAGATGGTTTATATTTCACTTCAAATTCTTTGTGAGACTTTTTAGCAGGGTCAAATCTTGGAATTTCCTTGAACGGCCTGTAAAAGTGGAAATAATCATATAATTAAAATAATATGAATAATCAAAAAACCATAAACTATTGCTACATGGTAAAACAACAATGTTTTGCAAACATCATTCATAAATAATTTTTTTTAAAGATTTCCTTAGTTCCCCCGAAATATAAAAGTGTACATTGGCATGTGTAAGTAAAGTAATTTTTACAGTTTTATCATCTTTTACCATTTTTTTGGATCTTATTCAAACTCTAAGAATTATCTTTTATAGAGATTAAACTACTCACCCCATCTTTATCATTTTTAGCAAAGTAATTCCTGACCAAAAATGGCTTAATGTCCAACCACCAATTGGGTGTCACCAGCAAGGGGTCAAACCACTTTACAATAGTTCTTTTGTAATATTCTCAATTAAAAGCGATGGATATTGTGTGCTTTTTAACTGCCACTCATTCAAACCAACCAGCTAAACTGCCCTCAACATTTTTATAATAAATATAATTATATATAAAGCTTATCCTTGCTGGGTTGAAGTTTGAAGTTAAAGATGGTGAAATGCCAAAACAGTCCAATAGACCGAGGACAGACAGTGAAATGATCGGCAATGATGAAATTACAGGTTCACTATCCCACAAACAACAAGAAGAAATGTCACGATTTTTAGATAATGTTTGTTAGTCTAGTGACCAGACTAGAGTGCTGTTTGAACAGAACTATTACTTACTATATAAAATGGACAAGAAAAAACCACCCACACGCACCATCGATAACTTCTCAGACCTCAACAAGTTGAACCCACATGAAAGAAATGGGAAAAAAACATCGGACAGAACAGGAAGAAAAATAAAAACACAGACCCAGCATTAAAAATGACAAGAAGCCTAAACACAACTGACAGAATCAAAACAGCAAGAATATATAGACCAATGGTCGTAAACTACTCAACTCCAAACGACTTATCAAAGAAAATACTAGACTGAAAAATTGAACATATTGTGGATAAATAAAACAAAAGAACCTAGAGGTCTTTCTTCTATGATATGCAGATGGTTTGGATATGTACCTTTACAACAATCTTACAAGCCTAGCTGCTACCCATGCTACACTCCCATGTGCACATGAAATAAATAACAAACATATTAAAGGTGAAAAGTCTGGTCATGTTCACTACCCCAAAGTACTCGTTAATAAATTATTTTTACCCTCCAGACTTCATACATTCACCCCAGAGTAGTCAATATTACTCGAGGCGGGGTTAAAGAACTACTTCCTTTCACACTAATAATTACATTCATTACGATAAATAAGCACAACATCCTGAGAAGAAAAAACAGACTTGTATTTTTTTCCCATAATAACTAGGTATAATGATTAATAGTGGCAGTGACAGGGTCACTGTAAGGTAAAGGTCCTGGGTTCGAATGCAGGGCTGCTGGATGTACTACAAACTTTTAATTTTTTTTTAAAGATATTTAGTTTAAGTGATTATTTTGATAAAGAAATTTTTTATATATCCCAAGATGAGAAGAGATGCTAGGATACGGGTTGCTAATTGCATCTCCTGTGCCAAATTCAAGCTGGATCGCACTTTAAGAAAGGGAGAACTGGCATTAAGAACTACGTTGATCATCCAATGCTAATTATACATTGAATTTTTGAGCCCTTTACCAAATTCTTCGTCTCGAAACAAATATGTGTTTCTGGCATTGGATGCCTTTTCAAAATTTCTTTGGGCTATTCCCACGAGGAACATAACGGCTAAGGCCGTGATTTAGTGTCTAAACAAGCACATTTTCGCACAATATGGAATATGATAATTGATCGTCTCCGATAATGGCCCGACGTTCAAATCTAGAGAATATAAGTCATTTTGTTTTCAGTTGGGAATTACATATTATTTGAATATTCCATATTATCCACAATGCAGCAATGTTGAACGCTCAATTTCATTCTTAAAAACGGCCATTGGAATATACCACTCCTCATATCAAAAGAAATGGTAACGTTCCTTGCCATTCATCGTCTTAACATTAAATTATGCACAGCACGAATCTACCAAATTTATCCCAGCATATCCACTATGTTGTAATTAATACAACGATAATAATACATATATTTTGAAATAAATAACAAAATACGAATGTTCGGTTTTTTAAACTTGGACATAGGCAAGCATTTAGAGGAAATCCAATTTACCCAAATAAAACAAATTGTACCAAAACTCATCTGCCACTTACTCTTCTACTATATTCGAATTCCCTTCATTTCCATCGGCTTCGTTATCATATTGTTCTTGTTCTCCATATTCTTCTTCTTGTCCGTATTCTTCCTCCTCACCATATCCTTCTTGTCCGTATTCTTCCTCCTCACCATATTCTTCTTGTCTGTATCCTTCCTCCTCACCATATTCTTCTTGTCTGTATTCTTCCTCCTGTTCATATTCTTGATCGTTCTGTTTTAAACGAAAATAATTAATGGCATGTTACAATTTAAATAAGGTAAAACTGATAAACAAACCATTTTATTCTAGTATTGTTTTATTCTGTCTAATAGTCACAAATTCACTTTGACAAACTTTTGAAAAGAAACCCACGTGCGTTGACAATTGCGACAACAGGAAGGTTTCAAACACAAATGAAGCGTCTCAATAAAAAATTTGATATCTGCATTTACGAAAACACAAATTGGTTAATCATTAGTTAAAAAGGTTGTTAATAATAATAAAAAAGTTACTAGGTCCTCAGTGTTTGTTTCGAAGAGCTCTTTTCAACTTTCTTAAATTTATTGAAATTTATAATGAGATTTAGGCCTTTTCCAAAATTCTTATAATATTAAATGTTTGTCTGCTGAGTTCTGCATACAAGATTTCTTTCTTTTTTCAGGAATTTTTGAGGCTGCTGGAGCGGAAAAATTAAATCAAATGAAATAAAGAAAATACAAATTGTGGGGCAATAAACTAAATGCCCAAAATCGCAATTTAAATAAGGAAAGATAGCCCTCTCCAAAAACCCAAACAAATTTGTTTTATTATTATTGTTAAGTAGCATTAGCATATTTATAGTATTTGAATGCAAAAATAAAAGGATAACGATGAGCCTATACTCATGCTGAGTCTGTCACTTGCCTGACTCTGTTATTATTATTATTGGCCATACAAGCCCATGGGAAATGTTCAAATTATGGAACAAAAATTCGAAATTCGAATTAAAGAACAGGAATAAAATTTATAATTTAAAATGGGATTTTTGCATACATTTGTCCTTCTCAATTATGTGTTTTAAAAGAATAAATTCAAGCACTGGATGGAAATAGGATAGATTAATTTATGTGTGTATGTTTGGAGTCAGAGCTTTATAGCACTCAGAAAGGATGTAGGGGATAGCTAACATAAGATAAAATGTTTAAATCTTAGGGCTTGAAATGGCCTTAGCCGTTATAACGTGCTTAAAAATTAATAATAATAATTATTATTCAGAAATCGTGAGATGTGGTTTTTCTGAAACCTACATCACACCAGACCGCTCATAATTTCTGAATAATTATCGATTAACGGTCACTATTCACCACACAATAATAATAGTCTTTATTATTTATTTTATTTTATTTTTTCATTAACTTCACTGAATGAAAACTCATTCAACAAAGGCTGTTACACCATTGATGTGGAGAGTAATTGGCTTATTATGGGTTCTCGTGTACCTCAAGGAACAGTCCTTGGTCTTTTACTATTTTTTCTTTATATAAATAATATATTTAACCTTAATCTAAGAGGTAAATCTTATTGTTTTGCTGATGACACTTTTTTCCTGGAGTAGATAATTCACTTACCTATAGAAACCATCTCAATTTAAATAAATATTATTAAAAACGGGTTGTTAGATATAAATTTCTTATGTAGGAATATGAAAAATAAATGTGATTTTATTCTCGAATCTTCACCATACCCCTATGCCTGTAATTTGAAGGGTATTGCCCTGCATGCCTATTATTGTAATTATTACATTAATAAATGTGAAATAAATGTCACACTTTCCATTTTGTTAAATACTTAAGAATTTTATTTTATCACTAACTCAAAATTTCATCAACATATTGATAACTTAACTAAAAGAATCAGGAAGCTCTTTGATAAATTTGATCAACAATTACGACAGGAATAGATTACAAAAAAAAAAAAAAAACTGAGAGCAACATAATAATATGCGTTTTAATATGATTATATCTTAAATACACATTTTTACAAAAATATTCACAGCAAAATTAGGTTTTCTCTTTTTTGGACCCTGCATCATTAGAAGTTTAATTTTCTTGATAATGCTGTTTAAGACTAGTTACTTTTAGGATTGAATTGCAAGTAGAATTTGCATTTTCCTGTCATAATAGCAGAAAAAAACATAATTCACATGCAGAGGAATCCAAGTAGTCTAATAACTACACAAAGTAATATTTAGCTCCATTAAACCTCATTTTTACATAAATGTACATCTGAAAAAATACATAGTTATTTACACATTCACAATTAACAACTCAGCTGTTTACAAAAATCGCCTCTACAATACGATTGTAAAAAAAAAAAAAAAAAAAAAACATTAATTCATTAGCAATTAATTTGAAAGATTTTCTCTTGAGGTCGACAAGGCAAAGCATGTAGCTGAGTCGTATCCTGCTTATAAAAACAGAGAGATAAGCAAATCAAAATTATATCATGAATGGAAATGACTAATCTACAATAAATATATTTAAATTAAAAATTGTAATCGTGATGATTTATTACATAGATAAAATTTGTATCATTAGAATCATAGCTTAATTTGATTGTATACTGTCTTTAGATTTCAATTTTAGAACAAAATGTTTAGAGAATACCCAACTCATTTTATTTAGTAAACTTATCTATTTATTAAATTATAACAATGTTTTAAACATTTTAAAGGAAGCCTGCACGGTGCTATTAATTCTATTCTATTAAAAATATTATTCTGAGAAAAAAATTGAAAAAATGACTATATATTTTATATTGTAATATGTACACATTCACATATAATTCTACTTAGGAAGACAACATAACATTCAGCCACTAAAAAGATAAAAGCTGTAACATAGGTATTCTGACATAAAAAATCATTTCTAATTATAAAGAACATTCTTCCATGTGCATTTATGAATGTTTGTGCTGACAACAATTAAAGAATAGTAAAAAATTTGGTGTAAAATAAATAAAAGTGGATGCTGAAATGTAGCCTTCATAAGTTGTGAGTACCTTTTAACATGCCAAACAATGATTACGATTTAATTAAATTAATAATTAATTTTGTTTTTTAATTCAATGTTCATGAACACACTCATTTCATACTTCTTTGAAATGAGAGTAATTCATAGTTCTTGTTTAACTGCCCCGTATTCTTCTAGGAACTCTTCAAAACCCTCAGGGAGCCTTCCTTCATCCAGATCTTTCCCCCAAGAACGGTACTGAAAATTAATTAGCAGTTAGATATACTTATTTAATAGACATAATCCACATTCCTACCTTTTCGAGCTCTTTGCGTAATGCAATTACCGCTTTTTCTCTGTCTGTGACCAGTTCTTCCAGGTACTGGTACCTCAATTTCTTCCTTGCTCGGCATTCTCTAGCACTTTGCCTACTCCTTTCTAAAAAAAAAGCCAAAAAATTATAAGTTACATATAATTTTATAATTTATAGATGGTGTGATATGGGGGGGGGGGAGCTGTGTTGGCTGAGAAGTTAGGGTATCCGACTTGTATATGCCATACTTCTTACATCCTGTGAGTGTGTGTGTGTGTGTTTGTGGCAAAAAAAATAGAGTACCACACATCAACATCATCATCATACTTGGCCCAACAACCTGTGAGGAGTTAAGGCCTTCTGCAACAAACTCTGGCAGCCACTCCTTTCTACAGTTGCGACCCTCCAATCCTGAACACCCAACAGGGCCCACACATCCTCTTTCACTCTGTCTATCCAACACAGCTTCAGATGCCCCTGTTGTCTTGTGTTGTAAATCTTTTCTTCCAGAAGTTTACTTAGTCATTCTGGCCACAAGCACGGCCCATTTCAATCTGCCAATCTTTGTTATATATAATTGTTTGTTAACAACTATGTTACAGTCCTCATACCTCTGCATTAGTCCTTTTGCACCACTGTAAGTGAGGACTGGTCAAATTAGTGTCTTGTAGAAACGTAGTTTGGTAGCACAATGTCTTAGATGCAATCGTCATAATTTTTATTTTTTGTTGTTTACTGGATATTTTTGTAAAAATGTAACTATAGCTAAATAAAATAAAAATTAAACTGAGTAAAACGATTTTACCAAAAATGTTGCAATGGAAATAATAGAGAAAATATTCAATTCAGTACGGAGTATTTCCTCCACTTGTGTTGATCACCGCTTGCATTCAAAGTGGCGTCAATTTTATAAGGTTTTGAAGTAGTGCTGTGGAATATTTTCATACTCCTTACAACAGCTCCATTCTTAATTCCTACAAATTCTATGGCATCACAGCGTGATGTTTTACTATCTTTGACAATTCATCCCAAAGATGTTCGATAGGATTTAAATTGGGACTACATGCTGGCCAATCAAAACATTAAATTGAAGCCTGTTCCAAGTAGTCACCAACAATCTTAGCTGTGTGGGGTCTTGCATTATTATGCATAATAATAAAACTGACACTGTGCCATATAAATAACAACTTCTTCAATGTTTCATGCAGCTGTTAGGGCACCCTCGATGAAGATCAAGTTTATGCGACCTTTCGTACACAACCACCTCCACAGCTTCTCTGGAGTTAAAATGTTGTGGGATATATTGCTCTCCTGTTCTTCTTCAAACCTTCTCTTGGCTGTCAGAGGACATCAAACAAAACCTTGACTCATCCGAAAACAAGAGTTTGGTCCAAACTTGCTCAGACCAATTGATACGATTTCTGGTGAAATTTAACCACCTTGTTAGAAGTTCTGGACCAGTGGCAGAAAGAAGCCTTACAGAAATATGAACAAAGAAGAGAATGACTATTCAAAGATTTATTTACAAAATCCAATTATAAACACAAGTGGGAGATTTTATCAGTGTTTTATTTACCTCTAATCCTTTGAAACAGATGAAATATTGCAAGATAATCAATGGAGGATTATCTAAGAGATAATTATAAATATAAAGGGTGGCCACTTTTTTGCCTCTCATATATATTTGAAGGGATTGTGAGCATGACATTGGTGTAAAACTTCGGTGACTCCCAAATTTTTAATTGTACAGCGTACAAATGATTATATTCAGTGTGAATGTATTTACTAGCGTGAGTGTTTGATATTGGGTGCATTTGTGGCGGAATATAGAGCTACGTTGTTCAATGTTATTATTACCTACTAAACTTGTAACTATATACTTAAATAATGATTTTTTTTTTTGTGTGTTTGCAAAATGATTCATTACAAAGAAAGATCAACATGATATTAAGTACAGGGGAAAGATAATACAAACTAGACTGGCAAATTCAATAAAAAAATCATTAATTTATCACACACACAATCCTGTGATTGGTGGGGGGAAAAAATAAATAAATAAAACAAGTGTCAACGACCAAAACATTGTCAAACCACCTCTCTCTTTCTTTATTGCTTTCATTATTTCTTCTGTTTTCTTTTCATCCTTTCTCCTTCTCCCTTTCTTCGATTCTAAAATTCTTTCTTACCTTTCATTTCACACCATGTTTCCCTCTATTTAGCTGCCTATGTACCTATTTATCTATATCACATTCTTTCTTTGTCTTTATTTCTTGCTTAAATAAGTAAAAGGAGAAAAACAATGGAAACTAGACTGGCAAATTCAATAACATTGAATACCAGACCGCATCACACGATCTCCAAATAATCATGACCTGTCACTAAACACCATACATTTAGAAAACTTCTGAATTGTGCTTGACATTATTTAAAAATTTAATCCCACTTAAAATCCTGTGGTTAATGGAAAAAACTAAGAAGAACAGTTTCAACGACCGACACATTGTCAAACCACATAGTTCTTTCTTATACCAATTGACTTATACATCAAATAAGTAAAGGGGGAAAACAATGGAAACTAGACTGCAAATTCTATAAACATTTAGAAAAACTTTCAATTGTGCTTGGCATTATTTAAGAATATTCGGAGATTGTGAGATGTGGTCTGGTGTGACGTAGGTTTTAGAAAAACATTTTCTTTATCGTACCAATGTTTCGATCTTTATTTAGATTATCTTCAGGGCCTGGGATTTATAAACATTGTTTAAATTTTACAAATACATGAGGATGTGAAAAAAATAAATGAGTTTATACAATGCTAGCAAATTTTAGATTTAAAAAAATGAATTTATACAATGCTAGAAATTTTATATTAAAAAATAAATAAAATGAATTTAAACAATGCTAGAAATTGCATAAATTGTAAATTCAATTTTTTATAATCTAAAATTTTCCAACATTGTATAATTTTTTTTCTCTATAATTTTCTAGCATTGTATAATTTATTTCTCTAAAATTTTCTATTATTGTATAAATTCATTTTTTCACATCCTACATGTATTTGTGAAGTTTAAACAATGTTTATAAATCCCAGGCTCTGAAGAGATCTCAAAAAAGATCACGTTGGTACGATAAAGAAAATGTTTTTCTAAAACCTACGTCACACCAGACCTCATCTCACGATCTCTGAATATTCTTAAATAATGTCAAGCACAATTGAAAGTTTATCTAAATGATTATAGAATTTGCAGTCTAGTTTCCATTGTTTTTCCCCCTTTACTTATTTTATGTATAAGTCAATTGGTATAAGAAGGAACTAGGTGGTTTGAGAATGTGTTGGTCGTTGAAACTGTTCTTATTACATTATTTAAAAATTTAATCACACTCAAAATCCTGTGGTTAATGGAAAAAACAAAGAAGAACAGTTTCAATGACTAACACATTGTCAAACCACCTAGTTCCTTCTTATACCATTTATCTAAATGGTATATAAACATTTAGAAAAACTTTCAATTGTGTTTGACATTATTTAAAAATTTAATCACACTGAAAATCATGTAGTTAGTCGAAAAAACAGAGAAGAACAGTTTCCATCTATTTACACATTGTAACGACTAACACATTGTCAAACCACCTAGTTCTTTCTTACACCAATTGACTTATAGATCAAATACTTTGTAGGTCAATAGTTGTTACATAATACAAGTGAAAGTGTTTCCAAAGCAAACAAAAACAAAGATAAACGTACCTAACTTCGCCTTAATGTCCATTGATTCTCGTGGTGTTGCGTCTTTGAAGAATCAGTAAATTTTCTCATCCAAAAATTGGGCCAGCTTTGAACAGAAACAAATCTTGCTGAGTAAATTAAACAAACAAGTATTGCGTCGTAATCAAAACAAAAACACCTGAGTGGACAGAGATAAACACATCGAAACTATCGATAGATCTATTGTGAAATCCGATAAAATTATAAAGAGAAGAAGTTGTATTGTTTTTTGTGTTGCATTTTAGATTTAATGAAAATGTACAAGTTGAGATAAGTAAAAATTGTTAGTTAGGTTGAGATAATTTTGACGTATAAGAAATATTTGAAAGTTTTTCAAGTCTGGATAGGTATTTTATATAAACTATAACGATTAACAAGCTTTTTTTTTATAGGAAAATATGCTTAAAAGTCACAATGAAGTAAATTGTTAATAAAATTTAAAAAATCGGACTCGTTCATCTCAACCCGTTCGTTCAGGAACGATCAATTTTTGTTGTCTCACGAATCACGAAGGTTTTCTCCGTTCATCCGTTGGTGTCTGCCGACTACCGTAGTACCGTCCTTTGTTTTCTTTTTTTTTGTTTGTTTTTCTTTGTTTTCCAATGTTTTCTTTATGATCCGCCTTTTCTTTTTATTGCGATTACAGTAAAAAATTCAATTTATTCATTTTCTCCGTTTGTGTATGAGTCATGCCAACTGTAGATATTCAATGGGTTTTGTTTTCTTTTGACATCCGACATTTCACACCTTCACAAAAGATTTAGCTTTAAGTTTCCTTTATTCGTTAGTAAAGAGTAGCTTGTAGTTTTCAATAATAAAGTCATTTTTAACAATTAAAATATTAATTATTATATGTCATAAGTTTTGTCTCCGGTTATATTGCAGTTAAATTTCACCTATCGGTTTTTGTTTTTTTTACTTTCTTTTTTTAACGTTTTATTTATATTTCACTGCCGGTTCATCTTGAATTTTACAAAGGAAACCAAGATGTTCGCCATAATTATATTTCTGTTGACATTCCAAATGTGGTTGTCTTCCAACACGATACCATCCGGAGGAAAGTTGGCCGTTTACATCAACAAATGTTGCGAAATTAATAAAATACACGTCAAGAATGAGTGCAAAGAAGTTAATCAGAGCTTATCGTGGGAGCCCACTTTTCTGTCTAAGTCAGTCGACGTCCAAGTGCACGTTATCAACAGCTATCCGAAATGTTACCACAGCCACCTTTCCTCGGTTTATGACAATTTCACTGACAGGCTGAGATTCCTTCTTGATGGCACTCTCCGACATTACACTCTCAACGATCCGCATACACCTGATGAGGATCTGAAAGATGAACAAATGTTTTACGACTACCAAGAGGGAACGTACTGCAGTGAGAAGGTAAGACATAATAAACTAATAAAGTTTATTTATTTAGGTCTGCCTTTACTCGTGGGATTATTTTTACATACATACTCTTCAACTAACTTAGTACGTAGCTTGACTTGTCGTGTTGAAGTTGATGCTGGGTTTCATTATGCGAGTCAATGAACTTGAAGTTGAACCAGCTCTGGGTTTCTTTTTGGGGCCTGTCTTTACTCGCAGGATCAGTTTTATGTACATACTTTTCAAGTAAGATTAGCCTCTGTTACAGTTGATGCTGGGTGTTAGTCTGAGTTGGTGAACTCATGTGGAACCAGCAATGGGTTATTTATCAGAGTCTGTCTTAACCAGACTCACCAGATCTCAAGATCCATATGGTTTTTTAACCTTAATTTTATAAAATTAATGAAAAAAGTTGTAATTTTATTTAATGAAACAATTTTTTTATATTTATTTTTTGTCTCATGTATTTATTAATTTAACTTATATTTTTTTAGATGATTGATTCGAATAATAAAGAAATGTATTATGCGCTACTATGCCCTCCTAAAGTGAATTCGAGTTGGACCGATTTTGATTTTATTATGCGGAAGATAGTTGATCCTATTTTCCATATAATCGCTCTCATTTGCTACGTCTCCGTTGCCCTTATCCATTTTGTGCTTCCACAATTAAGGGATCTTTTTGGAAACATAGTCGCAACAATAAATATATGCCTAGCTGTTGCACAAGCTGCGGATATAGCTAGAATTATCACAAATTTTGGAATCCCGGTTACCCATTTCTTAGCAGGTGAGTTCTATAATTTTGTCTGTTTTCAATTATTAAAACTGTTTTGTTAATAACAATTTCATTCTAAATTTTGGTGATTTAATTATTATTTTTTAGAGGTCTGTTTGTGTGTTGCCATTCTTTCTGCATATCTATGGTTGACAGGTCTTGGCTTTTATCTGTGGAGAACATTTCGGTAATTTTATATTAATAATAATGTCAGATAATTTTTTAAACAAAATGATTCAGCATGAAGCACCCAGCCTTTTCCAAATCAAGTAACCATGCGTGACATAATAGTATCCTCATCACACACACAATGTTCAGTCAACCATCAATTTATGTAAAAATCTTTAAGTTTTACTTAAAGCAATAAACTTTAAATAAAAAATTATTGTTTTTGATCCAAAATTTGTTCGACAATTGACTAAATCCAAACAAGTTTTGGATCCGCTGATGAGTTTTATTTGAAGATATGTTCAGTTATTGTTATTTTATAAATCACGATCATATGCGCACAGTTTTTATTAATTTAAAAAAAAATATTTTTACAGATCTGAAAATGTTTTTCTTAGAATGACCCACGGTAAAAAGTACTGCTATTATTCATTTAGCATTTGGTCGACAACTGCGTTCTTGACACTTATTGCTCTTCTTGCTCACTTTTATCTGGATAATCCGCTGGAGGAGGATATTTTTGAACTCATGAAAATTGGTAAGCATTTCTATATTTGCTTTTATTGTTACTTGAACTGTCTTGAACATATCATTTCTCGCAGTTAGGGGTCACACCTCAGGTTTTATCCATCCAGCCTCCGAAGTCGGGTACTCAGTATTCCACCATCAGCCCTCTCACACTACATATTCATGCTAATAAATACATGCAGTTTCAACGTACACACAAAAAAAAAACTCAAGAAATATCTATAAACTACTAAGTACATTAAAAGTCATGTTTCCTCTTAAAATCAGAATAGAGGATCCAAATACTTGCTGCAGTGCTCAAGTACAATTCTAATATTGGGTGGTAAACCTACACTGTATATATGGAGCCAAGGAAGTTGGACATGTAGAGCAACCCTTCTCTACATGCCGACTCATAAGCGGGCTTTAGCCTAAAAGTAAGTGTTTGTGTGTCAACCTTGCATGGCCTATTCTTAATTGGGTAAGGATGATCTTTCTTCTACAAGTCAGATACTCCGAGGACTACATATTGATATTGCTCTTTTTACTGCCCGCGGTATGGTGATACGGATACTAGGAAGCGGGGTTTGTACTCCCCAGGCACTGCAGCCTTCTGGCTTATTGTACCTTCCTAGTTCCTTAATTCAGTGCAATAGATTATATCCTTCTTTTCAGAAGTATTAGGTCATTGACTGTTGCTTCACATTCGACAATGATATGGGTGACTGTTTCCTCCTCCTCATTACATAATATGCACATGGGATCATTGTTCAATATGCCCATATTAAGTAGATGTTTTCTCTGATATCAGTGACCGGTTAGTAGTCCTACCACTCCTCTGATTTTGGCCCTCTCCAGTTGCAGCAGTGTTTTTGCCAGTCTTGGTGAGGGTTGTTTCATCATAAGTTTACTGTGTCTAGCACCGCTAGAGTTTATCCACTTCTCCTTTTGTTTTGTTTGGATCCATTCTGTGTTGGAGGATTCTGTGTTTGGTTTTGTTATCCCAAATATAGGTTCAGGGCCTATGTATGGTCTTTTGGATACTCCTCTGGCCAATCTGTCTGCTTTCTCGTTACCCAAAATTCCTCTGTGACCTGCCACCCAATATATCATCAAGTTATTGTGTTTCCCTAGGTTTTGGAGATTTTGCATGCATTCACTGACTAATTTTGATGTGATTCTTTTACATGCTAATGCTTTAATAGCTGCTTGGCTATCTGATCTTATGAGGATTTTTTTTGTCAGTGTAACCTCTTTTAAGATTTTCCAGGGCACAAGCATTGATGTCATGTATTTCTGATTGAAAGACCGAAGTGTGCTTCCCTAATGAGTTTGATTATTGCTCATGTTTTGGGTTTGTACAGTAAATGCCTGATCCGGTTCCTTCATTTGTTTTGGATCCATCTGTATACATACAGACACATAAGCAGGCTTTGGCCCAAAAGTAAGTGTCTGTGTGTCAACATTGCATGGCCTATTCTTAATTGATGATAAAGGATGATCTTTCTTCTACAAGTCAGATACTCTGAGGACCACATATTGATATTTGCTCTTTTTACTGCTCGTGATACAGAAAGAAAAAAATTCGGAACATTTTTCTCAAATAACATCATTAACAGGACCCACTGATATAGCTCATTAAAGGGCTATTCAACCTGGTGCAAATTTTGGTCTGCTTTTCCCAGCAGCAGAATCATAACTCCTTTTTTTTACATTTTTATGATTTGCACAATAACTGAAAGAACGTAAAAATAAAAACAAAAACTCACTGGGTTTTTCCCCCCCACGAAAATGCCCCCAATAAAAAAAATAGGGGTTAAGTACATAGACTACTTGTTTTCTTTGGTGTTAAAATCATGTTAAAACGTATTAAAATCTATGTAAACCCATTAAAACAAGAATGGAGAAACTATGCATTGGCAGTACTCCAATGAGAGTACAATTTACAGAGACTATCATTGTCACTGGATAGGAGATCTCACAGCCATCTCCCTTTCAATCAACAAGAAGGGGGATTTGGTAGAATTTTCAGGATGCGAGTTTTTGGATTTGAGTATCTATGGTGGATTTTTATGAAAGTTACAGTAATGCGAGCGGATTACATATTGGATAAAAGGAATATTTAAGTGTGGGTAGTTTGGTTGGTGACATAAAATGGAGTATCAAGATTTTTTCTGAGGGTTGGGTGTGACACATACTGGAATGTTTGGCTGAGCATACACGGCGACAGGATAAAACAGACTTATTTGTGAGTGGTAAGGTTGAGCATTTGTAAATAAGCCGGAGAAAATGCGTAAAATGTTTCATAACTTCTTGGCATTTAATCATGACAATTCTAAGTAGATTCTGCAGTTGGAAGGGGGATATTATTCAAGTAAACTGACGGGTGGAGTTTTCTGGGTTGAATTAGATCATTTTCTTTTGACACCAATACTTCAGTCGTTGATGGTCTTGAGGGGAAACGAGAGGATGAGTTGCTTGAGAGGATAACCATATCATCTGCAATGTTTGTCAGAAGGTCCCCCTCTCCCGAGGATAAAACCATGAATCGATGAAAGAACATGTTTAAAAATTCTCAGTTATTCATAATGGGGCATGGCAATGTTTTGTGAAATTTTGTATTTTTATTTTGTATTTTCAGCATTTTTTTTCTTTACAGGTTGGTTAGTCATTGCTATTTTTTATTTACCTATAGTCTGTTGTATTGCTGTGAATGCATATTTTTATCACCGTACTTCTGCATGTATGAAAGTTTATGGTAGATATGGAAGAATACATCATAAATTCAAGATATGGTAAGTACTTTATTTATTTATTTTTTTAAATTAATTTATTTGTATGAATTATTACATGCTTAATACATAAGTAAAGAACGGATTTTTATGTAGTAAGATCCTAAAAACATGCGAAAAGTAATGATAAAAAAAGGTAAAAAATTCCCATTTAATGTAGTAAAAATTTTATTTGCCTAATAAAATAAATTGCCTTAAATATTGTTTATAATGTGATTGTTTATTTTTTAATAAATCGATTATAATCATTTTTTTGTTGTACGAATATACAATATAGTTTTATCATTAAATTGATAAATATACAAGAAGATAATGTTTATAAACTATGCATTGGGGGGTCGGTGGCAATAGTTTAGGTACTGACACGGCACCCTGAGGGTTCATGTATCCCTTAGTTGAAATACCCTTACAAAAAACATGTATAAATAAATTTAAAAAATATGCTTGAAAGAACAAATATGCATAGAACAAATTTCAGTCAACTTTAAATAGTAAAAAATCAATAACAGCTGGTTTGCTCCCAAGCCGAAGAAATACAGAAGTGATGGAACAGAGCAGGTCAGCAGATGTCGAACATAAAACAATTAATTATTTATTATTATTAATTATTAATAATTGAAAAATGGCAAAAAGCAGGGAAAATTCAAAAGGTGGGGTTGAGATGGGAAGTTAGTGTCTGAGCGGATCGAAGGCACGATAGCTCAAGTGGTAGAGCAGTGGCGTATTTAGCCAAACATAGTGGGTTCGAATCTCGCTTGTGATGCTGACTTTTTTATCTCGACCAATACCTTTCATAAATATTAATTAATTGATAAAACAATTACTTAGAAAATTCTAGGCATCGGAAGTTGAATATTGATGAAGTGCATTATAAAAAAATATTTAGCCCTCAGTTCATTTACTCAATCGTTAACCCATAAAATGTATTTCCACGTTTTTTTAATGCATAAAAAAATATTAAACATAAAAAAAATTGGGAAAACATGCTAGAGTTTTGAATCCTGTTTTAAGACAACATTTTTTTCCAACTTGTTTAATTAATTACATTATGTTTAATTGCAATAATATATAAAATAGCTCATTTTGGATTTGTTTGTCTTTCCACGATTTGTGGAACAAATCAACAAATCGTAGAAAGAAGAAAGTATTTAACTACAATCATTAAATATAAGAGGTACATAAATAAACTTCTTTTTTATTCTATGAACATTTTGAACGCATAAGACGGCCTGTGTCTTCCCGTTTATACTTTTTCCACTTTCCCACCATTTCACACAATTCAGTTAGAAATTTCTAGGGCTTCCCCAAAAAGTCGCTGGCTATGGTCATTCACTTTTTTATTTATTCTGTTACAACCACGTAATTTGCTTTTCTGTGTATTGTGTTATTTCAATTGTTTGTCTATTTTGTATGATTATGTAAAATAAAGGAAAAATAGTTGTAGATTGTAAAAACAACTTTTATTCAACTACTCGCCCAATTTGAACAAAACGTTCTGTGGGTAGCTTACTTCATTTATTTAGCGCTGTGGGGGATGCAACTCTTGCAATATATAACTTTTATCATTTGTAAATCTAACAAAAATCATTTACATTATTTTTAAGTTCCAGAGAGCTATTTTACATAATAAATTAATACATCAAGCGTAGGATGCAGTAAATGAGTTAATTAAATTTACCATTTTTGAAAATGACATAAAATTTTTTTTTTAAATTTTCATGTTTTAACATTTAAACAAAAATTTAATGCAAAACTTGTTTTTATTTTAGTGTGGACATTTTTGGGAGACTGCAATTAGCGATGTTAATCTATTGGGCATTTTTACCCCTCTCTTGGCTACCGTTCAATGTCGCATACTACAGTTATATTTTTGTAAATGCACTCATCGCACCAGTGATTTTATATATAAGTATACTTAGTCAAAGAAGAGTGAGATTCTTGCTGAGGAAAGAATGCTGTTTTGAAAAGTGCCTTTTTAAGTGCCTTCGACCAAATCAGCCAGAAGATATTCCAGAATGGGGTGAAGAAATGATGGCTATATATAAATAAAATTATAGGACCCGAGTGGCTGATATTCTTTGATCGTTCTAATTGCCACGTTCGCTATTTTTTCATTGTAATGACTGTTTTTTTTCAATTTCCACTTAATTTTTGCATATTTGAAAATTAAGGATTAGTAATAGTAAACTGATACATTCCCTAACATTGTAATGATAAAAGTGTGCCTAAGTACTTTTTTTTTATATGAGACTAATATATAGTTTCAATTTGGTTCTCAAAAATATTTTTCTTTCTTAATTTTTTTTTAAATAATTTTTTTCATTGAACAACTTGTCATGTTATTGATCTCACTCTGATGAAATTATTCATGAAACTTGTGGTCTGGTAAATGTGAACAAAGGGTTGTTTATCAGTTGAATGTTGACTCTTAGTTTTTGTTTTGTTTTTAATGAGCTTTTTTAAAAAAAAGACTTAAAATGTTTTATACACTGTACACATTTTAAAATCTTTGCATGTCATGCACATCACATTTAAAATGTCTTTTGTGGAAAATGTTTTTAATTTATAATTATTTAATAGAAAAATTAACAAGTTCGCTTATCATTTAGTACAAAATTATTTTGTGAGGTTGATCGAGTACAAGTGATAATTTTGTAACGTCACTTTTTTTTTACAATTTTATAAGTATTTGTGCTATGCACGCCTTAGAAGTAAACTGTCTGTGATAAACACATTTATGTGCTTTCACAATAAGTATTATATAAACTGTAACTACATGTTCTTTGTACATGTAATAAACTTAATGTGGCATTTATTTATTGTTTTTACACTTAAACACTATATAAATGTATTAATTGTATTTTAACAAGTTTTTGACTTTACTAAAAATTCCATTTTTTGTAATATACAGTTTTTTTATTTTAGAACTATTAGTAACATTGTAAATAAAAATAACAGTGAAGTAACTAACTTTTCACTTAGTGATTTTTCTACAAATAAAAATGTATGAAATACAATATCTTTTTATAATTTATATTTTGTAAATCTTTTAATAAATCTTTTAATTATCACTTATTTTTTATTGTACATATCTCTACCTGAGGGGGCACTGCGATAAGGTATGAAGAATTGGCGAGGTTCCTCGGCCTCACCTTTGATAAAAGATAACAACAACAATTGACACCATTGAGGTGAAATGAAGAAAAATGATAACACTATGAAAGTTTGTCAGCCGCTTCAGGAGGAGCATGGACAGGGAGGACCTCCCAAAAATGTTTAATTCACTGCTGTGCTCGACCTTGTTTGGTTGGCCTGTTTTGTTCCCCAAAAAAGGCACCTGCAAAGGCTTGATAAGCTCCACTAGTATCGGTGTCTTCGAGCAATCTGCAAGTTTGCACAGGGCTCTTTGGTCATCTTGTGCTGAGACTGGGGGTGATGCCACCTGAACTTCAGAGAGAGCAGACCCTCAGATATGCGGCAGGGTCCATGACCACATCGGGATATACGTTTTCAATTTCTGGTGCCATCCTTAGGCATGTGCTTTCGCGAAACCTTACGATAATACTGGGAATGGCATTCAAGCTGGGCAGCTAGCCAACTCTGCCCTGGGTCCTCCAGCTGTACTCGTTTGGGATGATCTCACCATCCAAGTTGTCTACTCCACTATACTTTTACCGAGCTAAGTTCTGGAACTTATATCAATATATAGTGGTTTTCACCCTGTCTTCATCAGTCGCGAAAATAATGGATGCCCAAGCCTCCTATGAGGCTCGGCTTATATATTTATATATCGTGGTATTAATATCATGCCAAGCATCCTCTTTTTATATATATTTTTTTTAACAGTGATTCTCATTTTTTGGGTCAAGTAATGTAGAATATAACCAATAAGTTTTGATTAGAGTCAATATATCCGACTCAGGAATACATACACACTTGCAAAATGTCTTTACTCTGTCCAAACTGACACTAATGATCCCTTTGTGCTCATCGTAAAAACCGATTGTAGCCAGCTCAAGGTTGGATCGTAATATGCTCTGATACTCATCTAGGCTGGCGACAGAAGTTGTGCAAGTGACTCATGAGCCACCTGGCTCACAAGTGCATATGCACCGTAAAGCCAACAAAGATATGGCATGCGCCGTGTATTGTCAGTGTGCATCCACTTCATGATCGCTCCTACCACTGTAGGGTTTATATGGTTGAATTCAATGCAATTTAGCTTGAGGTGAATTGAGACGATAGTGGCTTTGCTTGCATGACCGACTCACTCAGCACAGTTACTGACGTCCAGTCTGATACCACGAGACAGTGTCTCAATAAAATGGTGGTTAGCTGGGTATCTGGATACAGGTTTGGAGGATTACAGCAGATGAGGTGGCTAAAGTCAGGACGTCCCAACCTCCAGACTTAAAACCACAATCTGGCCCTCTGATGCTAAAAATATAATAAATAACATGATAAAAGAAAGTGGCAGGATCAGCAGAGAAGCTATCATGTATGAAGAGCAGTCGACGATAGGTGGCACTCAGAAGTTCTGACTCTTAGAAGTGCCTCCCCGATTAAGAATAGACCATGCAAGATTGACACACACACTTTTGGGCCAAAGCCCGAAGATGTGTCCAAAGAAAGTAAGTGAGAGAAAGAGAGAGAATATAAGTTAGCAAGTAAACGAGTGAGAAAGAGAGAGAGATAGTGAGTTAATGAGTGGTCATACAAAAAGACCAAGACAGCTCAGACTACAGAGAAAGGTTGCTCAATGTGTCCCACTTCATTGGCTCTATACAGAATGACAAGTATGTCAAATTATACTTGAGCACAGGAACAAATATCTGGGTCCATTGAAAGCCATTAAAAAAATTACCTAAGCTACAGAGCTGGTTTTTTTTTTTTTTTTAATGCATTTTGTAGAGCTATAATAGTTAATAAATTGACTTATGCATTATAGCATATTTAGCTTATTAATTAATTATTAATATAAACTTGGTCAACTTTTCAAGTCAACTCTAGGAACAAAAAAAATCATTTTTAAAAATATTTATTGAAAAATGGACAACAAAAATTATTTCAAAACATTACAAGAAATTTTTTGAACTTACAAGTTAAACGAAAAACAGAAATATTTAGTGAACCCTTAAATGAACTTTTAAGCGTAATAATTAAGATTCGCTTTCTTCTTGGCTTGGACTTCCAGGATAGCATCCATGAAATCTTCGTGGATCACAACTCCAGCGCTGCGACGCAAAGCAATCATACCCTATAAAGTAAATAAACATATTGTGTAATTTTAGGGATTCGAGATAAAGATACGTTTAGGAAAAAGAAGTCCTGTCATATTTTATCAAAAGTGCATAATTCATGATAATACAAAAAGCAAAATACCGCAGACAAAAGTGTTGTAAGCAGTGGCTCCTGAACAGAAACCATAACCCCACATAAATTTGATGAAAGAAAAAGAGTTTTGTAAATGAAAATAACAGTCGATGAAAATTTTTTTTGTACAAAGAACAAAACAACATCTAGAGTTCTTGACACAGAATGTGTTTTTTAATTTTAAGCAGGATTTTAGAATGCCTGCGGACAAGCTTTTATAGTTGTATGCAGGGGCTATTGATAATATGTCTGATTACAGGCCAATTGCTTCGCTGAGTGTTTCTCAATACAGGCTTAGAAAATAATTTTTGACAAAAGATGCTACTAGAAAAGTCTGGTCTGATCAAATATTCGGTGCTTGGAATTGACAATAACGTGGGTTTTTGGAGCCCGCTCCATTTGATGTGGTTGGAGGAGCGATCATGTGTAGTAATTTTTTTTTATAATGTGGAAAATGTTTTTATTATCAGTTACTCAATGAAATATAAAATATATACACATATGTTTACAATTAAAACCAAAAAATAAAATAAAATACATGTTCCACTATATGGCATGGTAATAAACTATCTACTGAGAATAGCCAACATTAGCATCAAGGATAATTTATATTAAAAATCAGGACATTTGCACCTTCGTAAGCTTTTATCTTCCAATATTTAAAAAATCCTAATTTTGAAAATAATCAGACATGGTATAAACATTTTAGTAATAAAATAGCCAAGGTGAAACAATGAGTTTCTCAAATACAAGACGTTTAAAATTTCTTGGATTACAATACTTACAGCTTCTACACATACGGCTTTACATTGTGCTCCATTGAAGTCATCTGTGGATCTTGCTAGCTCCTCAAAGTTGACATCAACGCTTATATTCATCTTACGAGAGTGAATTTGCATGATCCTTGCTCTTGCATCTTCATTTGGGTGGGGAAACTCAATTTTCCTATCCAATCTACCAGAACGAAGAAGTGCTGGATCTAAAATGTCCACTCTGTTTGTAGCAGCAATAACCTTAAATCAGAAAAGTAAGTAGTATTTTTTTTTAGTTTGTTTTATCCCTTGTTCTGAACATACTTTAATATCTGCGGTTGAACTGAAACCATCTAATTGATTCAATAGTTCAAGCATAGTTCTTTGTACTTCACGATCTCCTGCTTTTTCAGAATCAAATCTTTTTGTACCAATGGCATCCAACTCGTCGATAAAAATAATAGCTGGTGCTTTTTCTTTAGCTAGGGCAAATGCATCTCTAACTAATTTGGCACCGTCGCCAATAAACATCTGAACGAGCTGGGGTCCGGCTAGTTTCAAAAAGGTCGATTTTGTCTGTGCTGCACAAGCTCTAGCCAATAGAGTTTTACCTTTAAAAAGAAAACAATGAAAATTAATTTTAAATAAATGTTTAAGCTGCATGATTTTTTTTAAAAATAAAATGTATTATGGAAAATGATTTTACTCATATTTCATACAACTCGAGTATTAATTGAATATCAACTCACCAACTTCAACACAGACTCATACAATTGAGCGGTGCCAGAAATTTAATATTTTCATTTGTTTCCAGTTATAAAAAGGTTTCTTAAGTATTAAAACAAGAACAGATAAATCTTGTTAATATACAAGTGAAACTTTCAAATTTATAACTTTAATTTGTAAACTGTAAATTTGTTGTTCTTCAAGTTATCATGACAATGTTTTAATTTCAAAAAGACATTTTATTATAAGCCCATTTGTATTTCAAGTCAAAACATAAAAAATAATATTCCAGCACCTGTTCCAGGAGGTCCATATAAAAGTACACCCTTTGGAGGTTGAATACCGAGGTTCTCGAATTTTTCTTTGTGAGTCATCGGAAGTACAACTGCTTCTATGAGCTGTAAACGTAAATTAAATTACTTATTGGTTAATGTCGTTTTTAAAAAGTCCTCATTTAAGTATAGTGAAACTTCCCATTACTGACACTCTTGGGGTATGAAATTTTGTCTGCTATACAGAGCCGCTTTTGAGGTAAGAGTGAAAAAATGTTTCGTTATTGCATGATGGGCTATAATGGGATTACAAGATATCGACAACTTTACAACACCGAGGATTTTTTGCCTTTTCTACAACTAGAAGCTTTTTCAAATTCACCGAGCATACTTTTGCATAAGAGCAATCATTTTTCTCTACATAGTTTTAAGTTTCACACACTTAATTTTCACTTTCATTCACTTAAATTTTTTTTCTCTTTTAGTGACAAACACACTGAAGACGTACTTGTAAGTTTGTAAAGTGGCATAATCAAAATGTGGGAATATTGGGAAAATATTGGTAGGTGGACTAAATACATAGAGGAAACAGAATTTCGCAGAAAATTTTCTGGAGACTGTTGTCCGCTTATGGAACAATTTAAGTCAGAATATAGCTTTTAAAAAAGCTGTCTGTGTCCGTTATTGAGAGAATCCGCTTTATGTAAGATTTTAATGCGAAGAAACAAATGGGTAGATTCCAAGGAATCATAATTTGTATGTTCAAAGAAAGGGTCTGCTTTTTAGAGGGGTCCATTAAGGGAAATTTCACTTTGGTGTTAGTAGTTTCTGAACACCAACACAGATGTAGTACAATGTCCTATTTTTTGAGAAAAAAAGGATAAAATCTAATCATTATTAATATTTGGATTTTAATTAATTACCAATTTAATTAAATGAATGAATGAAACTAATAAATTGTCTTATAAATGTTTAATTTTGCTATAATTACACTAACAATTATTTTACTATCAAGTAGACCAACACTTACTTCTTGAATTTGTTTGTCCAAGCCACCAATATCAGAATACTGCTCAGTCGGTCTTTCGTCAACTTCCATTGCTTTAACCCTTGCATCATATTCAGCAGGCAAAGTTTCTAAAATAAGGTAGGAATCTTTATTGACACCGACAAGATCACCGGGCTTAAGTTTTTCTGCATCGACTAGCCCAATAACTGGGAGGAAGTAGGTCTAAAAAAAATAGTAAAATGAAATATCACAGTGGAAAAAATATATACAAATATCAAGTTGTAACAATTATGTAATTTATTTTTAAAAAATACCTGTCTTGTGGATGTTTTGATAACAGCACACTTTCCCTTCCTTCGTGCGTCTAGATCTACAACAGCTCCATCCTCCTCAGTTTCTTCAGGGTCAACATCTAATAGCTGAAAACCATCAAATATTATTTAATGAAATAAATCTTTTCATTGTCTATCAAATTGAAAGCTAAAATCAAACCTTTGGCCACATACATGACAAATGAACATCCTAACCATCTGCCATTTTTGCATCTCATTTTAAATTAATATGTTATAATTTAATTGAGTGGCAGATAAAGTATTAAGTATTACTGACCATTAAAAAAAGAATATTTCATTCTAACCAATTGATTGAAATTACTGAATTTAACAATGATACCTTACATTTTTTCCTAATAAATAATTTAATAAACCATGCATAACATTTTTATAATATTCATACTTACTTCAATGACATTTGATACCAAATAAGGCAATGTTTTGTTGACTTTAATTTTTTCAGTGTTTTCTTTTATTTTTTCATTCTGCGCCTGCAGTTCGTGGGACACTCTCAACACTTCGCTTTTCATAATTTTAATTTCGTTATCCAAAAGACGTATACGACTGACTATTTCCTCGTGTGACATACGCTTAACTTCTTCAGATATATATTCCTGCAAATAGAAACGTTATTGAAAAACAGCATTAGAATTAGAACATTCAGACACCTCAATATAATTAAAAACCCAGCACAAACGTTTAAATTACCTCAAATTACTAAAATCTTGATAAATCCTACAATATTTACATGGAAGTAAAATAAACAACAGGAACGTTGATGATCCCAATATTGGTCAATTGGTCATAATTAAGAGGATTTAGATATAAACTCTGATGTTTATAGGCATGTAAAAATGAACCTAGGTAAATTTCAAAGTGGATGTAAATTTTATTCCTCTTATTAGCCGATTCGATCAAGAAAGTAAACAAAAACGGATGAGCACAGCAAAGCTCACACTGTTTTATAAAGAAATAAAAAAATAAGAAACACAAAATAAATAAAAAAATTATTTTAGTGAGATTGATATTATCTTGTCCACTCTTCTAAGCTAAACTCATAAATTCCTTACATTTAAGCCATTATTTTTAATATTGTAAGTATTTATGTTAACTGTGTCCATCATTATAAATAGTTTCAAAGTCCTGATGAAGAGGATATTTTCCTCAAAGGTTGGTCAAGGATTTTTTTAATTTTAACTTTGCCTTATCAATGATTTTTTATGAACAGTCAACCTTCCCAAAGCGGACACTTTTTATAATCAAGACATCTCTAATGCATGCAATTTTATTTTCTCCTTATAATCAATGTACACGAATACTATGTTTACAGATTTTACAATAACAAAAGTCTCTTATAAGAAGACTGTAGAAAGAATAACTCGGGATTTCAGTAATGACAGATGAATCTTACATGTTACTTGATCATTGAAAACAACTAACTGTGAGTAGGTACTATCTTTTTATAAAGATTGAGAATAACATTTCAGTTTTCCAGTAATATTATTTTAATTTCTAAATATGGACCCCTTTAATTAGCTGACAATTCCCATTTAAGAACGGTGTCTGTTTAAGAAAATACAAGAAACAATTATAGCATTTATTGGCATGAATTAAGGATAAAAACTAATATTAAAAAATTATGACTACTGAACCTCCACTTTTAAAGTATTATTAATTCATTTAAAAGTAAACCATTACCAAAGAAAGTTGGTGCGCAAACTTGGCTGATAATGACAAAGCCAAAGCATACCAAAACATGGCCATGATGAGAAGTTTTCCAGAATTAATGTCTACATATGAACCTTTCTAATTTGTAGACAATTCCCATTTATGAATGGTGTCCACTTATGGAAAGTTTGACTATACAAGAAAAAATTAGTGCATTTAATGGTGTGAATAAAAGATAAAGACTAATTTTTCGAACATTAAGGATCACTTATAAAGCATCTTTAATTCTTCTACAATGCAGGCCATTACCAAAGTAAGCGGGTGCACTGAGGGACCGCAGTAGCCAAGCAATTAAGGTGACAAGACTCTTGGCTAGTACACTACACAAGAATACAAAGAAAAGATTCCCACCTTCAGCTCTCAATTTTTCTGACACACAAGGGAAGCGGTGGTAATAATGAAAGTTTACACCAGCAAAAGGTCCGACGGAATTAAAAGTAAAAACGTAGTTTTCAACATTGAATATGCTGAAATTCTAAATTTAAAGAATTAAGAATTTTTTTAATGCAAATCGTTACGAAAGTAAACGGCTGATAATGACAAGGTTTAGAATAACATTTTCTTTATCGTGCCAACGTTTCGATCTTTATTGAGATCATCTTCACCGCCTTGTATTGCTTGCATTTCAACAAAAAGGTTCTCTAATTGTCAATTAGTAACTGATTACAGATGTATGTTTCTTTTCAAAGCTAGCGATGTCTTTCAGAATACTCTTTGCTTGGTGTCCAGGTGTAGTTGAAATCTTTTCATAGAATCCCATGTTGTTCTTCATTCTTTTTGTGTTGAAACGCAGGCAATACAAGGCCCTGAAGATGATCTCAATAAAGATCAAAACGTTGGCACGATAAAGAAAATATTTTTCTAAACCTACATCACACCAGACCGCATCTCACGATCTCCAAATAATCATTAATTAACAGTCACTAAATACCATACAGATGACAAGGTGCACCAAAACTTAGCCAGGATAAGAATCATTTTAAACTTTTCCAGAAATATATTTATTTATTCATATGAACGCTTCTAATAAACAGGCAAATTCCCTTCAATAACGTCTGCTTATGAGAAGTTTGACTCCATGAGGAAAAATCGTGATAATTAAAAGAACTTGATGGTATATCAAAACAAAGTTTTATGTGACCAATGGTGTGAATTAGGGATAAAAACTTACTTTTTAAACATTGAGAATGTTTAAATTCCAAATTTAAAGCATTATTAATTCTTTTATAGGGAACCATTGCCAAAGAAAAGCTGGTGCACCAAACTTAGCTGATAATAGCAAAACGCACCAAAACATGGCCAGGACAAGATTGCACAAGAAATTATTGTGGCAATTAATGGAGAGAATTAAGGAAAAACCTATATTTGAACATTGAGAATGCAGAAATTCCAAATTGAAACTGTTAATGATTCTTTTAAAGTGTAAACAATTTCCAAAGTAAGCTCGCACCAAAACCTAGCCAGGATGAGGCTATACAATAAAAAAATAATGGGCTTTAATAGTTTGAATAAAGTATGAGGACTAATTTCAAACATTGGGAATGCAAAAATTCCAACATTAAAGCATCGTTTTTTATAATGCGCGACCATTGCTAAAGTAAGCTGGTGCTCCGAACTTGACTAATGACAACACACACCAAAACCTAGTCAGGATGATACTACAAAAGAAAAAAAAAATATGGCTTTTACTGGTATGAATTAAGGATGAAAACTAATTTTAAAACATTGAGATTATTGAACCTAAACTTTTGAAGTGTCAATTATTCTTTTGAAGTGTAAACCATTTCGTAAGTTGAATTTGGTGCACCAAACTTGGCTGATAATGGCAATGCGCACCATCTATAAATATCAGTAACCATTGGGAGGAATCATTCCATACCGAAAACATTCCAGTTGAAATGTACACTAACATAATGTTTTAGTCTTTCTTTAATAAATTTCACCAATAATACCAATCAAATTGTTACAAATTTGGGTAAATTGATAAATTTAACGCGACAATGTCAGAAGAAAAAAGCGTTCAGTGTTTTATTAGTTGATTTTGATGGTGTTGTGGGGTTAGTAGAAAAGATCCAAAAACACAAACGCAACGATTTGATAGCCGAAGCTTCTTAATTAAAATATTAGACTGTCATACGTACGTCTTTGTCGTCCCACCCGAGCTTTTCGTCGGAACCTTTTGTCGAAGAAGTCATCGTGCTTGAAGACATCCCAGAAAATTAAGTTTAGCAAAGTTCAAAAGCGGACGCCTAACCGAGAATTTTGAAGAGTCACACTATCAGGGAAGGTAAATACGGTTAACTCTCAACGCGACAAACTCGCGATAAATTTTCCCTTAAAAGTTCAGGGTTAGAAAAGAGGGAATAAACAATATAAAAACTTGTTTCATTTCAGTTATAAAACAGCTTAGGAATTTATAATTGGACGTTGATTTTGTCTGTTTCACACACCTTTGTACGTTCATCTGGTGAAAAAACGTCAAACTCAACTGCAGTGCTCCCCATAAAAATTTAAAAAAAATTAAAAACCCATAATTGAAAGAGAAGTCTTTCAACTATCCTTTCCTGAACAATATCTATAAATAATAGGTAGATGGGTAGAAAAAAGTTTTATTTATCAATGAAAAATAATATGCTCATCAAAATACATTCAATTAACAAAACAAAAACATGTTCTAAAACATGTTTTTCAACTGTCCTCATGTTTCATGATCCTTGCAAAAGCATAAAATAATTATTATATAAAAAATAATATTATGTTAATCACTAGACAAATAATTAAATTCTGAACCTAAAACACTTCTGTAATTTGTAGCCATTTGAATGCATGCATAAACCGTGCCAATTTTGTCCATTAAAAAATGTGTATTAACTGGAACTATGATTTTTTTAAAGGTTTAAACATTGCCCTCACTAAGGGTTCTGGTTTTTTAAGTATTCTATTTTTTTCTGTAACACAGATTTGCTTGATTATCATAACAAATAACAACTGACATAACAAATATACCAAGCAACCTTGCTTTGAAACCAAAATCAATTCTAAAATTTCGTACAATGAATATTCAAACCCTTCTCTCAAAACTCTCAAAATCAACTAGGAAACTCAATAGATCAACTTGATATTAAATGTGCAAGACAAAAAAAAATTGATATACGAGGGCTAGCTTAAGTGTGAAGGGCTAGGAATAGGATCATAGAACTGAAATTGGGATGTTTATCTGTTTATTATAGAGAAAAATCAGGTAAAACAGGGATACAACACACCAGGAAGCTTTGGAAAAATCATTAGATATAGAACTTGGAAAGGCCTTTGCCCTTAAATGGGCCTAGTTTTCTCCTCCATCAAGGATGGTGACAAAGAAAGTGAAGGCAAATCCACTTGTAGCAAACGGTTGCTCAGTGTGTCACACCTGGTCAAGGAGTGCCAGGCCTTGGCCCCTTACAGGCATGGCACCCGATATAAAGCAGTACTTGGGCATGAGAGTATATTGTTGGGTCCCCTGTCCCGATAAAGGAAATATGGGTGTATACCTTTAGAACGAAAATGAATATAATGTATTTGTATGAATATAGTTGTGACTGGCTGAATGAGTAGGTGAGAGTGTCGATGGTGAAGTATACCCTATCGACCCTCACAGTGCTTTGGGGCTGATGTAATATAAATAAAAGAAATATGATATAAAACTATGAATAAATATATAAATAATATGAAATATAAATTAATATTTTAAAATATTAAGAAGCATGTTTTTATAACTGTTTTAAGCATTAAAAAGTTAGATTTTTAAAAATTTCTTTCCTTAATCATGTTTAAGGTTACTTTCTCAATATTTTTACATAAAAAAGTTAAATTTACTTTATTTATAATATGAACATTAACTGTAAGATTTGTTTTACAAAATAAATTTAAGGTTTAAATTAATTGATAAAATTTTTTTGATAAGCTCTTTCGTATAAAAAATAATTGATAAAGCTTAAACCGTTTATCTGATTTACTCATGGACAAGAAATTTAATTTTAGTTGTTAATATTTCATTAAAAGAACTTATTTAAATTAAATTTAAAAGAAAAACATATTGCTCTGTCAACTGCATTTCCCAGATTTGTCTTGACTTAACACAATTACAGGCTCAGAATCTATAATTTGGAGAACAAGATCAAACATAAACTAAGCCATCTCAGAAAGAGTCTATGGAAAACAGGAAATATTGGTACAGTACCTAGAGTACCAAGGGCACCCCCTCCAAAAAAAAATTTATTGGTAAAAACCCAACTTCTTTTAAAAAAGTGTACAAAATTTAAGGAGAAAAACATTATATTCAATACAATGCTTATAACTAACTCAACATTAATAAAGAATAAAACACTATACTACACATCAACGAAAAAGACAGTAAAAAACCTTATAAATAAAACATTATAAAGATTTAATTAAACACCCTGTCTATATAATTATAACAACTAGAAATTATAAAAAATAATAATAAAATAAATATAAAAAGCATTATAACTCATACATAGTACATTTTTAGCTTTTTTAACTAAATAAAATATTATGCTTTAAGTAACTGAATTTTAATAAGGAAGCAGAACTATTAAATAAATCAACAGTATTGGGCAGGTCCCCTCTTATGCAGAGAAAGGTTGCTCGATGTGTCCCACATCGGCGTGTCATGCCTTGGCTCCATACACAGAGCGTGTAGGCATGCCACCGGACTTAAGAAGAGTTCTCGAACACGGTAGCGAGTTTCAGAGTCCCCTGTTCCGCTTTTTAGGGGAAATTGAGGTTTTTTATTGTATATAATATGTCTTATGTGTTGTGTCTATATGTTTTGTCTCAGTGCATGTATTTATTGGCGCGA